GCGGGGCCGCGCGCTGTCTCTTTAAGGGAGCTGGGTCTGGGGTGGCGCTTTCCTCCGCGAAGGCTCCTTTGATATTAATAGTGTTGGTGTCTTGAAACTGACGTCATGCGCGGAGACTGAGGTCCTGACAAGCGATAACATTTCTGATAAAGCCCCGATCTCACTGCCATCTCCAGCCGCCTCTTTTCTGGGTGCCGATCGTTTTTCTGCAAACCTCGCGTCCTCTCCGATCGCGCCCTCGCCTTCCGATTTATTTTTTTTTTAAACAAAAAACACCCCCACCCCCCCGCCCGCCGCGTCCCTCCCCTCTCCACCGACACCGGGCACATCCTTGCTCCATTTCCTCTCTCTTTCTCTCGCTCTGATTTTCCTACGGGGGGGAGGGAAGGGCCGGGGGAGGCAGGAAAAGACCTTTTTCTCCCCCCCCCCAATAATCCAAGATCAACTCTGCGAACAACAGAGGACGGTTCATGGCTCTGGCCGCCGCGCCACCATCTTCCGGGCTGGCGAGGGTGTTCGCGACGATTAATCAACAGGTAAGGAGGGAGATCGGGGTCGGGGCCGGCACGGGGTCGGGGCCGGGACGGGGCGCCTGCGCTGCGCCCGCGCGCGTGTGCGCGAAATGTGGGCGATCGCGGCGAGCGGGGAGCCCTGGGAATTAAAAGTGACTTTCTTGAAGAAAAAAAAAAAAAAAAAGCGAGCGAGCCCTGAGACACAGAGAGGGAGTGTGTGTGCGCGCGCGCGTGCGTGCGTGTGTGTGTGTGTGTGTGAGAGAGAGAGTGTGTGTGGAAAGCCAAGCGCAGCCTTCTCGGGTTTCACATGCATTTTCTTTCTTCCTTTTTGCGCGTGTGATTTCTTTCTTTCTCTCTCCTCCTGCTCCCCTGTCTCCCCCCGTCGCACCCCACCCGCTCCCCTCTCTCCGCCTCGGTTGGGGTGCCGGGGTCCCAGGCTTCGGAGCCCTTGCAGACCGGCGACTTGCAACTGCAGTAGCCCCTTGGAGTCAGTGAGGGTCAAGTTCAGCCGCCGGGGAAGAGGAAAAACAAATCCCCGTTTGCCAAAAAAAGAAGTTTCAGGCCGGTGCCCCCTCCCTCCCGGCCGTCTGCCGGCGCGGGCGGTTCGTGACTCTCCTCCCCGGCGCAGCGGAGGAGCTGGGGGTGGCCCGGACCGCGGGCCGCCGCCGCCTCCTCCTCCGCCGCCGCTGCGCGTTTTCTGGGGGGCTCCTGACGAGCGGGGAGCACACGGGCACCGGCATGCAGAGTAGTAAGTTGGGAGAACTCGGGCGGGTCGGGGGGGTCCCCCGAGAGGGCCCTGCGTGGGGTCTCCGCAGTGGGGAGAACCGCACAGCACCGGCTTTGGCCCTGGAGAGTTTGCAAAAGCCTGGCTGGAAACTTTTCCCCCTTCAGGCCCAGCCGGGCTGGAGAAGGAGGGTGTCGCATCCGCTGGTGCACCCGCCTCGGAGCGGGCCGGGCAGCCTGCTGGGCCGGGGCTGTGCCCCGCCGGTGCCATGTGGCGAGGCCTTTCCGCGGGGCACACTTCCTGCGCCCGCCGCGGTGGATGCGCCATGTGTCGCGCGGGCCGGGGACCCCGCGGGGTTCCGAGGCTGACAGCGGTGGGACAGCGGCGAAGAGGCGCTGCGCCTTCTGTCTGGTTCCTGTTTGGGCTCCAGCCTCTGAAAAGCATCTCCGAAAGGCCAAGGCAAACACCGCTGTCGCTCCAAATAACTCCAGGATTGTGGGACCCCATGAATAATTGGAGAGGGGGCGGGGGTGGGAGCCGTTTGAAGTGCAAAGTTGTTTTTGTGTCTGGGAACGCTTTTTCTTTGCTTTCTCTCTCTCTCTTTTTTTTTTTTTTTTGGTTAGTACCTGTCTGCGCTGGTGGTGTTTCCCCCCTTTCCCCTGGGAAGTCAGTAACTGTTTTATGGCCCTAGGACTCTAAAGCAATTTAAGTTAGTGGGCCAGAAGGCTTGGTGGGGTTTCAGGAGGGATATCTTGGACTTACTAAATTGTAGGACCTGCTTTACTTCCCCTATATCTTTTTAGGCCTCAGAATTGATACTTTGAAAGTTTTTTGAGTAAGAGCGATGGATCTTAATGTTGAATCAAAATTATGTTAGGATATTCATCCTTACCCTATTCTGGAAAATCACGGCTAGAGTTTAAGCAAGGTAAGTGAAGTCGAGCCGCCGAGCGGAGAATTAAACGCGAGACAAATTGGGCCGATTCATGGAACTTTTGCCCTGAACTTCTGTGAACGCACCAGGTGAACAGGAAGGGACCAGGGAGACGCAGTAAGGTCAAAGGCAAAACACAGATGGGACCTGAGACAGAGTTATACAGAGATGGCTGTTGTAGGCCTGGTTGTTGCCTAAAATTTGATTGCTTAAAGCATAAATAAAATAGGAAACTCTCAAAGACTCTGCTGAGTCTTCCAGCTCCGAGGCTAAAATCTGTGGATCTCGTTGGCATCGTGTTACTTTCTTGCTGATGGTAGGAAAAGTTGATCATTTAGAAAAGAATGCCCAAGTCAAACATGCCAGGGATGGGACAGTCCAGGGAAGGAATGCCGGCAGCCAGTTCTTGACGTGGACAAAATGAGAATGAAAGTTTCTGAGCTCAATTGTGGAGAAGTCTCTCACATGTTGCTCAGTTGCTTAGAAGTCCCTCTTTCTTATTCCACTGGCAAATGTTAAAAAGCAGATGACCTAAAATAATCGTGCGGCCTTCATTTGTCTTTTTTGACCTTTCATTGAGTTTGCTAGGGTTGTGAATAAATACAGGGTTTGTAGGGGAGGGTAAGTGTTTCCTGACAAGACAGTCTGGAAATGATACCAACATTCTGAGGATTTTTTTTTCTACCTTTAAGTGAAAATTTATTAATGACCTGCTGAATCTTCACAAGTTAAACATATAGTTCTTAGCATTTATGTCTCCTTAGGGTTCTTAATTTCCTTTTAAAGCTGCTCCCTCTGATAAAAACATCTCCGGTCAATTAAATAGACAGGGCCACTAGTGTGCAAAAGTTGAAAGATTATTTCTGGATATTAATAATGTGAAAATAAAACCTCCGAGGAGGAAATAGAGTTAGGATGGCGGCATTCTGACTTGATTTCTACAAGTGCAAGGCATTCTGAAGCTTCATTAATACTGTGTTGGAAAAGTATAATTTACCAGCAGTGAGCTGATGTTTATGGCTTCCTGATGTGTCTGTTATGTGTGAGATTGTATGTGTCGAATACTTTTACACACGTAATAACTAAGTCTGACACTTCAAATAAATGGTGGGACGAAGCAAATGCCTTCCAGAAAGTTTGTCACGCCTTTGAATTTTAGATGCTGTTAGTATCTCTACTGCTGTTTGTATTTTGTCCTTTGTCTCATGAAGGTAGCAGTAAAGCTAAGGAGGAAAGTGTCATAACATCTGTGAAGTCCAAATACACTATTTTGATGGCTGAGATTTTAAAAAATTTTCTGTTTTCTTGCTTTAGAAAACAGTTTGGGATCCAAATCAGTGTGCTAGTCATAAGTTCCTTATTATATTTTCAGTATAATTTTTGTTTTTCTTTTTAAGTTATATACCACTTGCGAGTTTACTCTGATAAGTCACAATATAGGTCTCTGTATGCCTAAGGAAGTCTTCACCCTAGGAAAACCTTCAAACATGCAAAGGAATGTATACGGAAAGGCCGCTTTTAAGATCTTAGTATTTCAGTGCCGTTTCTATTACTATTATCGTTATGAGTCTGTGCAGAGATAGAAGCAACACTTTTCAATTAATGATCTCTGGATTTTTCACTAAGCAATAAATAAAAGGGTGCTAGGTTTTAATAGGCTTTTGTCTTACCATCTTTCTTGAAGTAAAGATTACTGAAAGTTTTTAAAAGGATCGCGGCAAGTTGCTTTTGAGCTAGAGATCTGAGTTTGAAATTGGGATGAATGTTGACGTTTAAACTTTTTTATTAACACATATATCTAAAAGTTATATTTGTTTACTTCTGTACTCTCTTTGATAGCATGCAATGTCACAACACTATGCTGTTGTATGTAAAACCAAATAGACCTTGAAAAAATTTATGAGCAGGTGTCTATAATTGATTTAAAGGAAGATTATTGTTTTTGTAATAAGTGATGCACCTAAAATAAAATGACTGGCTCACATTAGAACATATTCTTATGAAGATATTGTCTGGTGTGTAAAATGAAGCCATTCATTCGGGAGACTGACAGCTTTCCACTTGGTGTTTGCCTTTGCTTAATTTAGTTTCCACGGGAGAGCTGGTGTGGTAGTCTGCATCTGCTTTTGGCAGGCATAGAAAACTATAAACTCAGACAGTTCTGTCCTGAATATTGCAGCTCACCAGTTGCAATCAATTTGATAAAAACAGTCAGGTTTTATGGACTTGTTCCCTGTTGTTCATCCTTGGTCCTGCTTTCAGGTAACAGGTTTTTTTCTTCCTCTTTTGGTGGCAATGACTGCTGATACCATGGATAACTGGCTCCAAGTCTTGTTTACTCATTAATCTTCCTTATTTACTGGTGATTAAAATTTGGGGAAATTAATACCAGTACATCTAGACTTGGTTTTACTTGGGTTGCTTATAGATGGGATACCTCTCTTTCAATATCATAGAAAAAGAAGTGAATTCCTTGTAACTAGGCAGTTATGATTTATGGGATTCCAAGTCTCCCTTTGATTAGGATATGAAGATACTCTTCTAGCCTTTGCCAAGCAGGAATTTAACCTAAATTTTAAGGGTACCTGTAATGGCCATGTATTGAAAATCACTTTAATAATTATTTATGTTTTAAAACTTGGGCAGTTTAAAAAATAACTCTCAAAATCATTTGTCTCCTCAAGACTCTAGGCAGCCAATGAAAGTAAATGTGCTAAAATACCGAGTATTGTTGTATACTACTGTTTGGTAGCAAATAGTAAAGATTTGCCCTTGAATATAAGTGGGTCCAAGCCACTTGTTTATTGGTAGATACTATTCTGTTACATATGACCTTCATAAATAATGTCCTTAATGTTGTAATTATGGTTGTTTCTTAAGCTGTCATATTACTCAATGGCTCTGATATTTCTGAGAACTGAATTTGTGAGTCTTTGGTTTGCTTCTCTGATGGGTGTAGTAATGTAGAACTTGATTTAGGTTAGAAAGGGTTTTTTGGGTGTAAGGAAACTTTTTCTCCTGAATTTGCAGAAGGATGTGGGTGAAAACGGTTTGAGTTCTCATAGTTCCTTAGATGAAGAAGCCTGGCTAGTGACTGCAGCTCTACTAACTATTACAGTGGTGATGTCTACTTTTTTTTTTAACCCCACTGTTTGCTTTCAAAAGCACAAACCCAAGTAGCAAAAAACAAAGATGAAATTATCTGTGCACGTCCAGTTTGAAGCATCATTGGAAATCATTTTCTAAATCAAGGCTATAATTGAAATAAAAATAACATTAACCCCCCCCCCCCAAAATCAGACATTAAGGATACGCTTGTTCTTAAGTACGCTTTGTGAAAAATCATAAAAGCCATTTAATTTTTAAAATGTTTCTAGCTCTTTAAAACCCTGCAGTAAATACTTCACAAGTGGTTAGACACCTTCCCTGGTGGTTTAGTTTATACAAGTAGAAACTTTCTCTCCTCCTCTTTCTCTCTCCCTCTTGTCTTCTTTAAACCAACTGACGTAATGCCAAACTTTGCTTTAAAAGAACAGACAGAAGTAATTGGTAGCTTTTAACTTTTAATAATGTTCTGGATTGTTTTTAGTGGCCAAGATGCTTTTTTTTTTAGAAAAAGAAAAAAGTTCAAGTAAGAACGGGCTTGTGGCCTGAGGAAGAAAGGCTCTGTTGATGCAGTTATTTTTATTCTTGTTTTTCAATCTGTTATTAAAAATCTTTCCTGCTGAGCGCGGCCGGATTTCTCCAATTGTCCTTTGTGATGGCTGGTGCATTTCAGGTTACCGTGGCTTAAACAGTTTTAGGGTTTGGGGAAGAGGGGTATTCTCGTTGCTTATTTCTTTCTCATTTGGAAAAAATTAGCTTTTGTTTCAATCAAGATTAATTAATTAAGGTTATCAATGAAGACAGCTCAATGAATATGTTTATATAAAGAATGCCACACCTATTAGCAGCAGCCTGAAATGTGGAAGCTTAATTGTGACATTAATCATTTTTATGAGCAGAGGAAGGAAAATAGATGAAACTTTACCGAAATGGATTTTGAGATTGAAAATATTATTTGATGGTCAGTGTGTTTCTACTGGAGGATTTTTTTCCTTAAAATTTTAGATACATTTTAAGCTTTATTTAATCATATAGTATTTTTCCTTTCTTTCTTTTTTTCCCTCCCTTAATAGTCATTTTCTCTCTTTCTGGCTTTGTACAGGGAAACAGAACTTTAGTTAAGACCTATCTTGGTGGTGTTGATGGACGGGGGCAACTTCAGAAGCTGGCAAGCAGGAAAATCTTTTCGGGGGCAGAAAGATTTGTGATGGTAGTTTTTCCTCTGGGAAAGGTACTCCACCCAGAAGTAGGCCCCTCGGCACCATTGGGTGGGTTGAGAAGTCCGTGTCCGCATTTCTGATGTGAATCATTGCTGGGAGGTTTAAATCTTAAGGTTATGTATTGTGGACTTTGCTTTTAATCCCAAACTCGTTCCAGTGAAATTCTTATTTTTATATACTGCACATTCAAGAATAATACATACAGAAAATAATTAAGTGTCCTCCGGAGCAGGAGTAGAGTGTGTACAGTAATTATCATTGGAAAAAGCATGCTGTGTATTCCAGGCCCTGCAAGTGTTCTTTGTTTAAAAATTTGACAGTTTTGACTTACTTTGTGTGTGTGTCTCAGTTTTTCGGGTAAGAGCTACAGCCTTTAGTTCAAATCCCAGGTATTCCTTCTTTGCTAATTTAAGGATTTGTCAAGGGAAAAACTAGAGGAACTTCAGCTCTTTTATTCCCACCAGCGTAGTGGGAAGTTTCTGGGAGTCAGTCATGATTTGTTCAGTTTTTACAAAGTCTTCAAACATAAATTTCAGCAGTTCTGAGCGACTGTCATTAGATGTTTATTTCATGATGTTAGTTTGTTACTTGAAAACTGAGAGAATGGTGAAAAATGAAGTTTAGGAAGAAGGAAAAGGAAGCAGAGGGAAGTGTTTGGACCTATAGTCT